GGGGACGCGTCCCGGCCGCCGCCTCCCGCCCCGCTCAACTTTTTGTGAAGCGCGGAGCGGCAGCGGCGGCGCAGCCCGGCCCGGGTCCCGCTGCGGACGGCGCCGCGGAGTTGGGCACAAGATCCCCGCTCGGAAGCAAACTTGGCGGCGCGGCCAGCTCCACAACCATCTTCCGGGCCGGGAGCGGCGGCCGCCGCGGCTCCTGCCCGCCGGTCCCCGCGCACCCTGCAGCCCTCTCTTCGCCGCCGAGCCCCAACTGCACCGGGATCCCGGGCGCAGGAGCAGCTGCTGCAGCCGCCTCGCCCATTCAGGACCGCCCGCCTGTCCTCTCCCCTCCTACCGGCCGCGGACGAGGAGTGCGTTGTCAGCCCTTGCGTCCTACGCCCCTCGGGCCGCCGAGGCCCCCCGTCCTGGTAGCCCCACTCCCGGCCGCGGCGGCAGTCCCAGCACTGGGTTCCCCACTCGCCCCGATTTACTGCCACAATCCACCAAATAACAAGCTGTTGAGCAGACTCGCTTCTACACGAACTACCATTGGCTGATCATGACGCCCAAGGGCTTCCGATTGGAGCTCACTCCCTACCGTTCTCATTGGATGTGGCTGTCAAACTTCACGGATTGGTGCAAGAAACAGCAGGTAGGACATTTTCCACTTGTGATTGGCTGTATCGGAAGAGTAACGTTATTGGAGAATCAGAGATTGAGTAAGCAAATCCTGAGACGTCATTGGTGGAGACGACTCCGGATATGCTCGACTAAACACTGATTGGTCCACTGTAGGGTCAGGAAGAGTATTCCGGCACGAAGATTGGCGGTGGAGTGTCCCATGGAGACGGAACCCAGAACCACGGCCAGGGGCTTACACGGGGGCGGGGCGAGAGTCCCTCCACGGCGCCTGCGCTAACGCGGCTTCTCGGCGCCATTTTGTCCCGGCAGCGGTGGCCGCAGCTCTACCGCATATTATATTTCTAGCATGAAGGAAGCCGAGTCGTTGTCCGGCCGATCTATCTTAGTGCGGAATCCATCCACAGCTTGCTCCAGTCCAGCACCTCGTGAAGTTCAGAAGAGTCGCGGAGCTGTCGGGAAGGTCGATCGGAGGCTGTGTTCGACTGACGGGTGGGGGGGCGCTGCTCTGGAGGCTTCGGCACCGGAAGTGGAGGCGCCGCCTGCAGGCCTGGTAAAAAAAAAGGCTCCCGGCGGCGGGGTGGGGATGGGGGCGGGAAGGAAGGGGCGAGGCTTCCTCTCCGCGGCGGGCGCGAGGCTGGCGTCGTCGCTGTCCGGTGGGCGGCCGCGGACCCTCGTGGTGCGCGCGGCGAGGCCGAGGCCGGCGTCCTCGGGGGCCTTCGCGGCGCGCGCCGCTCGCCGGGCTCCTGCCCCTGGCGGCTGTGGAAAGCTGATTGTTCGCTGCGGTAAAGTCGTCGAGGGGTGACTGTTGACGATCCCCGCGCACTGCGTTTCCCGAGCGAGAAGTTGTCCTTCACTGAAGCAGAGGGAATATTTTCCTCGCTCTCGCGGAGATTTTCAACGAGAAACATGCGGCGGGATTTGCAGGGAATGAATGAGTCCCATCTGGAGAGGTGTTTGGCGTCGGTGCCTTTATTTTGAGTCCCTTTGCTGTGTTTGGGGAGGTTGAAACATAGTGAGATCGAGCAGTTGTGACGGTTGTACTGAAGAATAGAAAGAACATCTTAGCGACAGTCCCTCAAGCGGGTGAGTTGTAATGTCTCCAAGAATCTCTAGGATTGGGAAGAACGGCCAGCAAGTTTTCTGTGGGCCAGTAAATAAATAGTAGAGTGGAAGAATGGTGGTTGAAAGATGTTTGGGTTGGCCAGGGTTCCAGTGAATCTGTTCAGCTTTCTGATGTGATCTTTTAGAATGCAGTTCTGCAGTTAGGGCCTACTTGTGTATGTGTTTACCCATTCATGTGGTTTTGCTTTTTTTTTTTTTTTAAAGATAAATCTTGCTATGAAGTTTAGACGGACCTTCAACTCACGATGTAGCTCAGGTTGGTGTCAAACCCGAGGAGACCCTCCTGCCTCTGTCTGCAGAGTGCTGGGACTCACTGTTACGCTTCGCCATATCCAGCTTCACTTTGCAACTTTTAAGCATTTAGTGCTTTTAATATGAAGCGTTATGAATTATTTCACAATTCTATCCTAAGTAAAAAAATTCCTCATACAGAGTTTTATCTGTAAGAGTGTTTAGGAGTGAAGCAGTTTTAAAAGAGGAAGCTATGAAACAGCATACTGCCGCTGAACTTCCCAGATGGCCATCACCCATAATTGCACTACCCAACCTTAAACTGATGTCATCTGATCCAACTGGGTAATAAGGAACAGTGTACAGAAGGCCCTTTTTGGGGGGGCAGGACCGGGGATTGAACTCAGGTTCTTGCGCTTGCCAGGCAAGCGCTTATTCTACTGAACCATTTCCCCGGCCCCAGAAGGCCTTTTTTGTGTGATTTTGTTTTTGAAAATTTAATTTACTCATTTTGTTCCCCATTTTTCCATTACAGAAACCCCTGGGAGAACATCAGAAATACTTTGTCTATAAAGCATTTTTCATGCCTTCATGGTGTTATGTAGAGTAGTTGTACCATAATTTATTTATAAGACCTGTCTTTTTTTTATAATGGCAACAATAGGTCAGTGAATATCCTTTTTTTTTTAAATTTTATTTATTTATTTATTTATGTGTGTGTGTGTGTGTGTGTGTGTGTGTGTGTGGGTGGCCAGCTCAGCCCACCAGGGGGCGGGGCTGGCTGGCATGTGGTGCTGGGGGATTGAACCGCGGTCCCTTTCCTTTGCTAAGCTTGTTCTAAGTAGGTGCTTTAGACCACTGAGCCATCTCACCAGCCCAAATGGAATAAGGTTTTTTTTTTTTTTTTTTTTGGTTCCTCGAATGCCTTCAGGGCACTTTTGGCCAGCGGGAGAGTTGTGAGGTTCGAACTCCAGCAACCTGAGGCTGACAGCTTTGTGGAAGCAGCCACTTAAAGGACTGAACTAGAGCCAGGCCCCCCTGGTCAGTGAATATCCTTTAGACATACTTTGCAAAATAGTATGCCTAAGAGCTAGTATCATTGGCTCTTACTGTGCTAGGCATCTAAATCTTTCTTCACATCCGTACTTACTCCTTTTGGAATAAATCTCCAGAAGTGCACATGTGCAGTTGTACCTCAGAAAGCTTTTCTTTTGCCAGGCATGGTGGAGCATGTGTGTAATCCCGATGCTCAGGAGAATGAGGCAGGAGGATCGCTGAGAGTTTGAGTCCAACCTGGGAGGATTACTACTAGTCTGAGCTGGGTAGCATAGCGAGGCCCTGTACTAAATAAATTTTTTAAAAAATGTCAAATTTTTAATATTTCTGTAACATGAAACTATTTTGAAAGGATATTTTGTTCAAAGTTCAGATGTATTGGAGCCGGTGAGCTAGCTCAGTGATCTAAAGCACCTGCTTAGGCAAGCTTGCAGGGACCATGGTTTGATCCCTGGCACTACATGCCACCCCAGCCCCGCTCTTCTGGTGGCGTGAGCTGACCACGAAACAACAACAAAAGTTCAAATGTGCTGTGTATAATTACGTATGGCATAAAGTCTGTGTGGCACTTCTGGTAAAATCTCAAAGTCAGAACATCTCTATGGATTTGATTGCCCTTTCTGATTCCCATTTCTGATTTTTCTGTTTTGTTTTTATTTTCTTGAGATGGGATCCTGACTGTTCATCTGACTGGCCTGGAATGAAGCAGTTCTGCCTTACTTCCTGTGGGTGCACCAGTGTATCTGACTTGTTTTCGAATTTTTTAGTGCTTAATGTTATTATTCAATACCATGATAAGCTTTTTTCTTTTTTTCCTTTTTTCATTTTGTAAAAGTGGCATAAAGAAGGCTGGGGAGATCGCTGGGGGGGCCGCGGGTTTAAGCTCCTCTCTGGCAAGTGGAAGGACCTGGGGTTGAAGCCAGGTACTGCATGCCGTGCGCCGTGCCAGCCACCAAAACCAAGCATGGTCACGCACACCTGTAATGTCTGCCCTGGGTAGGCTGAGACAGGAGGAACGCTGCAAGTCTGAGCTGTGTATAAGTAGATGATTAAAAATGTTTTATAAAGTGACAAAAAGAGATTATACCAGTAAGAGTGCTTAGGAGCAAAAAGCAAAAAATAATTTGTTACAACAATACATGTTCTGAGTATCTAAGCAATAACTATCAAAGTAAAAGACATCTGTTTCTTTCAGAATAAGACTGATTTTGTGAGAAAATGAGGCGCGATGTTCCAGTTGTAAAGATGTGGATATGCTTTCTTTGTTGAAAATTTCTGGTATGTAAATTTATTTGTTCTTAATCATTATTGGCTATGTTACACTATGTATAAGTGTAACTTCTGGAAAATGATAGAATTTATTTAATTGCATCACTATTTCTGGAAGTATCACTATATGTTGTAAAGTGTAACATTATTTATATTGAATGTAGCCCCTTTCCTAAATACATGTTTTTTTTAAGGTTACATAATTCACTTGTACTCAAAGCATAGTTTGTAATCTATATGGTCTTTTGTCTTTTTAAATTTCACTGCTGATTTTACAGCTACCCTGACTCATCATGGTTTTCTTCCACATTAATTCAAGTAGTTATTTCAAAAGATTAAGCATTTTGGTAACTTTGAAGACTAAAAAAGTACTGCGTGCTGATTGTGCCACTGGAGCTTCTCTACACTAAAATAAACAGTGCTTTAAATAGTCATTAAAGGCTCTTTAAGGATAATGAGGTGTGAACTGTACAATTAGGAAAGAAGAGGTAAATCAGATGGAGGATTTTGAACAAGAGTATGATTAGATAAGGAAAACTTCCAGGCAATAAACAAATTAGGAAGGGAGGACAGGCCGCAGATTAGGTTGGGAGTAGAATGGGGCTTGTCGCATCAACCCTGCTGGGATTCACTGTGCATCAGAATCCTGTGGGCAATTTGTGTTCTGTAAGGTTTCTAGAGCGCTTTGAAAACTGGGGCATGAGTAAAAATTATTTTTATTTTTGGACTTTTATAAATCATTAAATATAAAAATGAAAATCCATATTTTTATGGGGGTGGGTACCAGGAATTGAACTCAGGACCTTGTGCTTGCCAGGCATGTGCTGCACTGCTAAGCTATACCCATGCCCACCTTTTTTTTGGGGGGGAGAGGGTGGTTTTTTTTTGAGACTAGATATCACTAGTTTAGGTGGGCCTTCAACTTTGTAGTCCAGGCTGGCCTTGAGCTCAGCAGTCTTCCTGTCTTAGCAAGTGCTAGGATTATGCTCAGGCATCATTTATAATCTTTTTTAAAAAAATTTATTTATTTGGTACAGGGTCTCGCTATGCAGCTTGGATTTGTAGTGACCCTGTCTTAGCCTCCCCAGCACTGGGATTATAGGTGTGTAGCACACCCGGCATTCTGAGGCCTGCACTGCGTCCTTACACTTGCCAGGCAGGTGCTTAGACTGCTGAGCTATCTTCCCAACCCCTATCACCTGTAATCGTATCCTAACACATTTTTCAGATTTCCTTGTGCACAAGGGTATTCTTTGTTTTTAGTCATCAAGTGGATTTTTTAGTGAGAATGTGAAATCTCCGTAATAATTTTAATAGTGGAACATATCACATCTTCGTTTTGCCTCTTGAGATAGGGCCTCACTATGTAGTTCAGGTAGCCCTTGTGCTCAGAGTGCAGCCCAGGCTGCCTTGAACTCGCCCCAGTCCTCCGGTCTCAGTCTCCAAATGCTACGATTGCAGACAGTGGGCCAGTCCCATAATAGCCCATGTTTCTTTCTTTAACTTTTGCAATTGCTTGACCATGTAGGTGTCTAGATAGCGATTTTGTGCTATAATTACCTGCTTCCTTGAAGTAGCTTTTGCTTTGGAATGTTCTTTTATGATTGCTTTAAAGATGGTATGAGCATTTTTATGAAACATTTTTCTTGAAACATGGGCATGTTTTGTGTTTTGTTTTGTTTGTTTTTTTTTTTTGCGGAACTGGGGATTGAACTCAGGCCCTTGCGCTTGCCAGGGAAGCGCTTATTCCACTGAGCCATCTCCCCAGCCCCCTCGTTGTCTTCCAAGTTTATATTATTACCTTTCCCAATATTGTTATACAATATTATCTTTTGCTAATTTAGTAGTGCAAAAATAGGTTCAGAGTAGCTCCTGTTGGGGCTGGGGATCTATAGCTCAGTGGCAAAAGTGCCTGCCTGGCAAGTGCAGGGTCCTGAGTTCAATTTCTGGTTCTGAAAAAAGAAAAAAGCTGTTAAGTAAGATGGGACCTTTTTCTGTATATTTTACTTGCTCTTATACAAGATCTCTAAGCCCTCTAAGCATTAGCTCTTGATATTTTGTTGCTTGTTTCTTGCATAATACTTGGTTTTAATTTGCTGCATATATTTTTCCATATAGACTTCCCTTTAACTTTAGTTACTTTTGGTAAAAGGGTTATAACATACATAAAGTATATTGTTAGAAAATGCTGTAAAGAGCATTCATTGTGACTAAGCAGTGACTCAGGAAGTGAAGATGGGAAGACACGGTGCTGTTGAAGTGATGTCAGTGTGAGAGGAAACTGAAGTAGGAGCTAGAGAGAGAGGGGTAGGTAAGTAGTGAAGAGCTGATGGAGGCGGAAGAGTTGACATTTGATTGCTAACTGATGATAAAGTACAAAAGCAAGAAACGGGCCAGCCAGGTAGCTCAGCGGATTAAAGCGCCTGCTTAGGCAGACACGGGGGCCAGGGGTTCAACCCTGGGCCTGCCATGCTGCTCCCCCCTCCCAGGGGCGTGCTGGGACTATAATTGAAACTGGTCATGGTGGCACGTGCCTGTAATCCCAGCGCTTGGGAGGCTGAAAAACAGGAGGATCACTGAGTCCAATCTGTAGTGATCTGTAGACCCTGTACTAAATACAAAAAAAAAAAAAAAGAAAAGAAACAAAATACTCCTGTTACTTAGGAAAGTAACACCATTCACTGATGTTGAAAGTCAAGAGAGACTATTGGTTGTTATAAAAAGTGAAATCCTTTTTTTTTTTAAACCAAAGGCTTTTTTTTTTTTTGCGGAACCGCGGATTGAACTCAGGCCCTTGAGCTTGCCAGGCAAGCGCTTATTCTCCTGAGCCATCTCCTGGGCCCCAAAATCCTTTTTTAAACATGCAAATTCAGAGTTTTGAATGTCCATTAAGGACATTCTGTTTTGGGGGACTAGGGAGTGTCAGGGATCGAACTCATGATCTTGCCCTTGCCAGGCAGGCAGTTATGCTACTGAGCTATTTCCCTGGCCCAAGGATTGATTTTTTTTTTTTTTTTTTTTTTTTAAATTTGGCACAGGGTCTTGCTAAGTAGCTCAAACTCCTAGTGATCCTCCTGTCTCAGCCTCCCCAGCGCTGGGATTATAGGCATGCACCCCCATGCTGTGTTCCAGGGCTAGCATAGCTTGCGATGTCAAGGATCAACCTAGGTCCACACATTTGCCAGGCAGGCACTTAGACCGCCGAACTATCTCCCCAGCCCCCAAGGATCTATTCTTGTGTCAGATTTTGTACAGAGTTATTAATTGGGATAAGGTATGCTGGACCTTATGTTTCTGTTTTCACTTGAAATTGTTGACTTGGTTGCTTACGTTTTTATTAAAACAAAAAAGTAGGCAAGCAAAATAAGTTCAGAAAAATGAGATTCTCAAATGAAGGAGACAGGGCTGGGGAGATAACTCAGTAGAATAAGCACTTGCCTGGCAAGCAGGCATCAAGATCCCGAGTTCAATCCCTGGTACTACAAAAACAAAAATAAGGCAAATGAAAGAGAGGTTATACATTTCATTGTCATTGTTGAAAAAAAAGTCTTTTTGAAGATGTTCTATAAAATGTATATGTTTTAAGTGTTCAGTTATGGGGGTGAAATGTTCTCCTTCCTGCGTTGAGTAATTTTTTTTTTTTTGATACTTTTTTAATGTTTTGCTTTTCTCAGTACATGTTTTCAGTGAGTCATGCTTGCGCTCCTCATGAGAAGTTGATGCCTGCACATAACACAGCTCAGTTCTCTAGCCCCTTTTGTCCCCCTGTCTGTCTCTTGGTCCCCTTCTCATTTCAGAAAGCTCTATTTCCTGGCCTCATATTATCTTTTCTTTTGCTCATACAAGTTTTTGTGGTTTTCATTTTAAATGTTAAATATAAGGAATACCTTAATATTTATAAATATCAGAACATGGAATGGGCTGTCTTTCGGTTGTTCCTCAAGAGGAAGGACTTGATTTCAACTATTAAGCTCCTGTTGTTTCCCCACCATTGACTCACACACAAACATCTGAGACTTAAGAAAAAGTGGGTTTTTCTGTGGCTTACAAAGAACATTCTGGTTTTATTTCAGGAAAAAAGCAGATTTTCTAAATGATCAGTTGGGGATCAGCACATAATCAAGTACTTTTATTTTGGGTTCTACTCCACTTATAAAGCCCCATGCTCTACGTGGCTGGCAGCGGCCATCCGTGATGGTGAAGCCAGAGTTCTCAGGGCGAGGCTTAGCTGTTGCACTCGGGTGGCCTGACCCTTGCTATTGCCCCAGATGTGGACAACTCAACGGCGTAATTTGTGGTAGCGGAGGACTTTGTACTTTCTCCTTAATAAAAAACAACAAAAAACTTAAGCTTTTGGTTTTCATTTGGGGATAGGATGTGAGTTGAATTCTTAGTGCAAAAACAAACAAACAAACAAAAAAAGGGAATGATAGCTTTAAAAATCATTCAGATGGCAAAGAAACTACTTACAGCTTAAGATACCTAGATACAGCAGAGGATTTCTGTGAGGAAGGGTGGGTGAGAGCACATGTCTCATCCTTCCTGCCTCATCTAGAAGATGGCAGTAATTGATTTCACCTGACAAGGTTGGCGTTTGTATTGCACGAGTTGGTATACGTAAAGTGCTCAGACTGATGTGAAGTATTTAGGAAGCACTTGGTTATTAAGTGGTATTGGTATGCCTGTGTTACTACCTGAGTGTCATCTCAGGAGTTTTAAATGATTCTGTTGTATTTACATAGAGCCATGAGAGGAATAAAGCGCTTGGATCTTGCCTCCTGAAGATCATACCAGTTTTTTCTAACTTTTCCCCCATTCTTCCCTTAAAGTACCAAAGAGATGTATGCTCAGCTTTCATTGTTTGCCTGTACAAGCTTCCTGTTTTCTGTGTTTTTGTTTATGTTGTCCCAACCATCTAGAATTGTGTCTTACCTCTTTTGTGTTCGAATGAAACCTTTTGGGCTGGGGAGATAGCTCAATAGACTAAATGCCTGCCTGGCAAGAGCAAGGTCCTGAGTTCAGTCCCAAAAGAAAAAAAAAAAAATGAAACTTTTTAAGAAAAACTTTCTTGAAAGCTTTATAGGAATAAGTACAGGTAATCTCTTCATTTTCCTATTACATGGCTCCTACCACTTTTTGTATTCCATTTGAGCTTTTTATTAGCTTTAATGTTCTTCATTTAATTAAATCTTTTTAGGTAGAGAACTTTACCTCGTTCACTTTTACGAGTTTAAACTGTGTCACAGGCCTGGACACTTAGTAGTATTTGTTTATAGAGTCAAAGATTATAAGAGGCGTAGCCAGCTAAAAGGCCATTTGATGGACAGTGTGGCAGTAAAAGTGTGCTTTGTCAGTGTTTATATGCCCAAGAACGTCCTTGTCAGGCACTTAGAGGACATGTGAGGTTTCAGGATGAGTCAAGTTCAAGTGCATGTAGGTGATATGGCACTGGGGTGACTGACTATAGGTTGGGGATTTCTTTAGAATGTGTTCTTGGAATAGATGTGTTTAATTAACCACTAGAAGGGATGTTTTTCTGGTGCATTTGGTTTTCCACAGATCTTCCGTATTACTAGTATTATAGACTTGAGATACAGCAAGGACTAAGGGTATGTCTCTTGTCATTAACAGAATATATAGGTCACCTCACTCAGTATGTTGAACTTAGACTCTCAACTTTATGTAAGTGAATGTTTTAAATCACAGTACCAAATGCCTTTATGCAGGTATTATGTGAGGACATCTGTTTGATGCTTGGATGCTATGATGCTGATCAGGGGGCTTGCCCTTAAGATTTAGAAGAAGTGAAAGTGATGGGAACTGGAGAGATGATGTAAAACAGAGTCCTTGACCCCAGGCCACATACTGGTACCAGTCTGGGTCTGTGGCCCATTAGCCAGGCTGCATAGCAGAAGGTAAACGGCAGACAGACAAAGCCTTGTCTCAGTTTATTGCTTCTCCCCATTGCTTGCTTCATAGCCTGAGTTGTACCCCTTTTCAGATCAGCTCTGACATTAGATTCCCACAGGAGTAGAAATCCTACTGTGAATTGCACATTTAAGAGATCTAGGTTGTACGTTCCATGTAAGACTAATAATAGCAGAATTAAAGTGCACAGTGTAATGGAAATACAGTGAAGTGCACAGTAAATGTAACGTGCTTGAATCATCCCTAGACCATACCTCCATTCTGGCCTTTGGGAAAAAATGTTTCTAAGGCTCATCCTGGTGCTAAAAAGAATGGGCACCACTGAATTAAAACAACAGGCTCATATAAATAGCTAAAGAGGCAGGTACTCTGAGCTGGAAAATTCTCTGAATTTTTACAATAACTCAGCAGGATGTTGAGTTGAATAAGGATCCTAATATAGAAGCACTAAGTTTGAAAACGAGATGTTGTATGTTGTAATCATAACCCTGTTACTGAGTGACTGTGATCCAGGATACATCATTGTGTGAATTTTTGCTCTCAGAGAGTTTCATGGAGCTAAAGTATTTACAAGGTTTAATAAGTTTCTAGTCCAATTCCTGTTTTTACTTCCTATGTCCATTTGTCTTTATATGGTTAACTGTTAACCTTTAAAAATAAGAAATATAACACTAGACATTGACTCAGACATCTTAGCACTTAAGAAAGTTGTTGATGTCCTATCAAGCTGTAATGTTTTACCTGTCTTACTTTCTTCTTTTTTTTAATGTATTTAGTACAGGGTCTACAGGATCTCACTACACAGATCGGACTTGTAGTGTTCCTCCTGTTTTCAGCCTCCCAAGGGCTGGGATTGTCTCCTGTTTTTTGTACCAAGGGTTCTTTTGGGGTTTTTGTGTGTGGTGCTGGAATGGTAACCAAGGCCTGCAGATGGTGGAGGAGTACTGTACCACTGAGCTACATCCCCAGCCCCTATTTATCAAGAGTTCTGTTGTTTAGTTTTTTTGTTTTTTTTTTTTTAATGTGTGTGTGTGTGTGTGTGTGTGTGTGGCCAGCTCAGCCCACCAGGGGGCGGGGCTGGCTGGCATGTGGTGCTGGGGGATTGAACCACAGTCCCTGTGCTTTGCTAAGCTTGTTCCAAGTAGGTACTTTAGACCACTGAGCCATCTCACCGGCCCCTAGCTTTTTCAGATAGTACCTAAGCAAGAACATTTCCACAGTAGTAAAACTTCTGTTTTACATACTGTATAACATGCTTCAGTATATTCTTCTGTAATTTATTTTTTTTAATTTAGTGTGATACACAATATTGGTTTACTGACATTGCATGGCTCTCAGCCTGCTTTTGGGGGCAAGGGAGTGAATGAACTCAATCTTTACGATTGTTTGATGCTTTGTTTACTGGGGATTTTGAAATAAGTATGATACAAATTAGTTGATAGCTGAAAGGCCTCTAAATTGTTTCCGGGGTTTTAGAATGGAAGTTAAAGTAGTCACGAGAGAGATTTATTTTCTTTTTTTCAGCGTTTGGCTTGTGTGTTTGCTGAATTGTATTTATTCTGCTTCGTCTACTGTCCCACTTAGGGGATTATATATATTTGTGTTTAGGGTTACCTCAAATCCAACAGCAAGCAAAAGAAAAAAATCCACTAGAGTTCTTAACTGTTTCTTTAAAAAAAAAAAATCCGTTGTTTCTTAGTTTCTATATGCTTTCATAAAGCTGCTCCTAGTGTTTATATAATTCTCCGGGCTTACATCTTGCTCCCAAGGGCAGCAATGGAAATTTTTACATGAAGGAGCTTAGCAAAATGAAAGCCCGTCTTCTTGTTTCTTATTTCTCTGTGTATTGTGTATACTGCCTTTAAGGTCTTGAAATTGCCCAGGTTTTGGTAAACCAAGGCCGACTTCTGTTTTCCTCGTGTTCTTGAAAGTTCTGCATTTTATTACTTAGTCATAAAAAAACCTGTTTGTTCCCCAGTAAATACAAGCTTGCGCCATGAAACCAGCTTCTCTGTGCTGCTGTGAACTTCTGTCACATTTCCATTTAGGGAAAGGATGGATTGTAGAGTAGGCCAGCTTTCATTTCATGCTAAAGATCCTTCTCAGATTCACTTTGGAAGCTGTCCAAATGTCTGAAGGGGGAGAAAAATGACATGTCTCCACATAAAGTCATTTATCAGAAAGCTTCATTTGGCTCTGTGTCAGGGTTGCCAGGAAGGAAGAGAAACGTTTTTTTGCTGTTAGAAATTTTTAGCGTATGACTTGCCAACATTGTAACTTCCCATTAGGGCCCCCACGTGAAATGTCGTTGAATTTGTGCGTGAGTACATTGCCTTTGAAGGCAGGATTTCTGTTCGCTTCTAGTATATTTTTCTTACGGAAATTTGTAAGAACTGTGTTCAGCCACGTTGCTCCATTTACAACAGAGACAGGCCAAGGTCATATGTTAATTCAGATAGAAATTGGCTACAGTCTGAATGTGGGGCATCATGTGCATGATAAATCTTTTGCTGTCAAAATCATAAGTAGAATAGTTATAAATGATGAGTTATGTTTTATTAAGTGAATTCCCAGATATGTTTTAATGAAATGTGTAGTAGAACATTATTTCATGATAAACCTGAATCATACTCCTGTTTCTGCTGAGGGAACCTTTGTGCTATTTTTTATAGTGGTGGAACCACTCTTCCATTTGTTGTTGTTTTTAACCAAAGTGACTTTGGGCTGCTTTTAATCAGAGCTGTTTCTCCCTTGATATTTCAGTCAAGTAAGAAATCCCCGAACATGAATGAAGAGTAAATTTCTTCCTCATTAGGGCCTTGGCTCAGTCCACCTTCATGTTGAAAAATTCTCTTCTAATACTTGAGTTGCTGTATTTGGAGAGCTGATACTAAATTGTAAGTATTTGAAAACATCTATGGTAAATTTACCACATGTTTTCTTTCCATCTATGTATGTATTTCTGAAATACCTACAGTATTTCTCATAAAATGTAGAAAGCTTTTTCCTAAATACCTACTGTTCCCTACTGTTTTATCCTGTTTTGCTTTATATGAGAAGTATCATCACTTAAACCTCGTGCTTGCCAGGTAGGCGCTTACGCCACTGAGCTAGCTCCCCAGCTTTTTTTTTTTTTTTTTTTTCTGAGACCAGGTCTTACTATGTAGTTCAGGCTGGCCTAGAACCCAGGGTGATTCTTCTGTGTCAGTCTCCCAAATGCTGGGGTTACTGATGGGAACTACCACACCCAGCCCTCTTCTCTTTAGCCAAATACATTTAAACTGTACCCAAATCTGTTTTTAGGTTTTAATGTGCTCATAAAAATTACACCTGTTACTTGTTCAAAAAACAAACTGAGGGGCCGGACTTTAGACCTAATGAGTTCACATCTCTAGACAATTCATAGGCTGGCCTTTGAGCCAGTTGATTAGCATTTATTGCATAATTTCCATATCATCTGAATTCTAGTGTGTTATTTTAAAGCTGGGTCTTCTGCCTAGGCCAGAGTATCCTTGAACTCACCTGCAGCCTTGTGGGTGTTAGGATTCCAGGTATGTACCACCATGCCCAGTTTATTCATTTTGTTGTATTGATTTTGTTTATATTTTGGGCACATCAGTCCTTTTTTCCTATAAATTATTGACATCCTGAGTTCACTTACTGGAGAGCTCACGCATCAGATGTCTGGGAAACTGTCCTAGGTTCCATGTTTGTCAGAATTGCTTCTCAGAGCACACGTATGGTAGTTCAGGGCATATATGTAGTATATGGAAATGTAGGTTTCTACTGTGTGTATGTCTAGTAGATCTGTCTCACCATCCTCATCTTGATAGTGATACATTGTAGACATCCAAATGGTTTCTTGAAATTTCTGCTCTGTCACTAGGTTACTGCTGACTTTCAAACCAGTCACACCTACCAAAGATACATTAGCATCTTTATAGCTCTAATTCTTACATACATCATTTTCCTTACTCACTTTTCTGTATTTCCTTAGTGCTTTCTTAGAATACTACTCCCATATCATGTTTGACTTTGAATCCTTTCGGGTTTCCCCTAAGAGGGACAAATAGTACAGATCACACACTTCAGAGGTCAGCTCAGCATGTGAAGGAAGCTTGCTCTTCACCAGTCTACAGATGAGTCATACTACACTTGCGTTCACTTAAAGAGATGTTATGTGTGCCGGAAGGAAACACATAGTACAGTGTTTACACCTCGACTGGGTGGGGTGTCAAAGAAGGAACCTCCCTTTTAATGTGCCAGTGTTTTAAATATAGAGGTGCATATTCATGTACTGCTGATTTTTTTTTTGGGCTGGCTCTGCCTGCCCTGAGGGGGGCCTGGCGTGATATGTGGTACCAGGGATCAAAGCGTGGTCCTCTGCGTCTGCCTAAGTTTTGCCTAAGCAGGTGCTCTAGACCGCTGAGCTGTCTTGCCGGCCCTCACATGCTACTTAATTAGTTCAACTACATTGAAAGTATTGTGTAAGCTAAAGGGCGTATTTCCTATTTTTTGTTTCCTCTCAGTAGTTCTCAATAGGCAAGGGTTCTTGGGCACTGATGTAGAGTACAAAAATGGATACATTTTTTAATTAAAATTGGAGCTCACTCCCCCAAAAATTGCCCCTTTACTCAAATTGTATAACGTAAAGAATGGGTGTACACAGTGGCCTTCAAGCGGTGCAACCGAAAGGCTCCCAGCTGGCACACACGAATGTGCTCAGTGCTCACTTGAATTAAATGGATAATGCCTGGCATTTCAAGTATGGTTTAATAAGCTGAGTATGGTGGCACATGCCTCTAATCCAGCACTTGGGAGGCCGAGGCAGCAGGATTTTTGTGAGTTCTTAGGCTACAAAGTGAGCTCAAGGCCAGCCTGCACTGCACTGCGTAAGGCAGTCTCAAAAAGGCGAAAAATAAAGCATGGTCTGTTGTAACGTAAATACAGGGAAATTCTGTTTATGTACATTTCCTGTGAATTTTGACTTAGACACATTTTTATGATGAAGTCCAACCAGTACATGACCTTTGCATCACAGTAAAAATTGCCTTGTGCTTAATTTCTTTTTTGCACCCTCTAGAATCACTGGTCTGTAGTTTGGCCATTCCAAGACGTCCCATGTTGGAGATGTACACAGTGTGTGAACCGTACAGCCTAAGCTTTCTGAAGTGAAATGAAGCGCACACCTGTGATTCCAACAGCAGTGAAGTCTGCGATGAACACCTGAAGTATGCTAGTGGTGTGTAAACTTGAGAAGAAACTGCCAGACTGCCTTCCAGGGCAGCTGTACTGCCTGCACCTTGTGTGCAGTGAGTGACGCGCCGCCGTTGCTCCTCGTGCTCACCAGTGCGGGGAGGGGTCAGTCTCTCCGGTGTGTCTTTGGAAAGATGAGTAGCCTCTCACTATAAATGTGTGTATCTCTAACAAATACTGAGTGATGAGTGTCCTTTGACATATATTTTTTTCCATCTGTGTATCTTTCTTAGTGAATTGTATGGTTTCACTTTTCCTTTTTTTTTTTCTTTTTTTAAACACGAAGCTTATATAGTGCTGGTGGGCCGTGATTTCATGGCAGTCCCTGAGCCCCAGCTTCCCGAGTGCTGGAATTGTAAGTGTGCACCACCATGCCCGGCTGTTTTGCCCATTTTGAAAAACTGGGTTGTTATGTACTGTTTAATTTTGTATGCCCTATGTACATTATTCTAGACACAAGACCTTTGTCAGAGATGGAATTTGCAAGTATTTTCCTTCTTGTTACTCTCTTAACAGCATTTAGAACAAATTTTTTTAAAATTTTGGTGACATTGTGTCCCTTTTCTTAATTATGCGTATAGTATTAAGAACTTTTTTTTTTTTTTTTGAGACGGGGTCCGACTGCAGTTCAGACTGACCTTGAGCTCACTTTGTAGCCCAGGCCAGCCTTGAATTTGCAGCAATCCCCCTACCTTAGCCTTCTAAGTGCTGGGATTATAGTTGTGTACCACTAGGCCAGCTAAAAACTTTCTTAAAACCAGCAACAGATCTATTTGCTCCCTGGAAGTTTTATATTTTGACAGCACTATCTTAATTTTGCAATAAAATAAGAAACAGTAAAGTTTTGTTTTGTTTTATTTCTTTTGAGACAGGGTCTTGCTATGTAGCCCAGGCTAGGTTCATCCTCCCAAGTGCTGGGATTACAGGCATGCACCAGTGTGCCTGGCCTAATTTTTTTGCCTAATGTTTTTTATAAGTTGTTTTGTATTTTGATTTACATTATTGGTCTCATCACTTTTAGGGAATTAATTTTTGTAACATAAAAATGAGGTTGAAGATTTTATTCTCTTGAGTATATCCATCTATTTTGTTTGTTTTTTGGCAGAACCGGGGATTGAACTCAGGCCCTTGCACTTGCCAGGGAAGTGCTTATTCCACTGAGCCATCTCCCCAAGCCGTGTATATCCATCTAAACATTGTACTATTGTTTCACATTTTCCTGGGCATAAAAATGATTTCATGCTATAGCTCATGAAATGGTTTCATTAAAACTAAAAAATTTTGTAAAATTCTCAATTTATAACTGAGCACCGAAATACTTTTTTCTCATCAAAATACCACCAATCCCAGGTTTGAAAGTTCCCACACTGACAACCAAAGCATGGCTGCTTGTTCAGTATTTGGAGGACTAAGTGTAAGCTCAGTGGTTGAGCTAGCATCTTCATGGTCTTGGTTTTGATCCAGCATAGAAAAACTTTTCTTGCATAAACTGCATAGTAGGTCTTAACAGTGTTTTGAGTTTTTAATTTTTTAGTTCCAGTGTAAATTTTAGAAGCAGGTCATTGGTTTCTTACCTCCCATAGAAGAAACCACTTGGGAAACTGATTATGTTTCTGTTGAGTCTGTAAACCACATTGAAGAGAATTGGCCTCCTTAACTCTGAGTCATCTGATCACTTTAGTTTTCTCTCAGAGTTTTGAAAAGGGAGACTGGGGATGTTCCTTAGGGCAAGGTCCTGAGTTCAATCATCAATGCTTAAATTTCCACTTATGTTGCCATTTTTAGTAACATGTAATCTTCATTTAATAAGATAATGGGTGATGTGTATGAAGTCACACAGTGACAAAAGATACACACATGAAACCTCTCAATTATAAATACCCTTGTATTAATTAGTGTTAAGTTTTCCTAAACTGTCATGGGTGTTGTGAGGTAAGTCCTAAATATTTTTAGCAAGAAGAATCTTACTCCATGAAATGCAATAATTGATGCCCTTGTTTATACAGTGATAACTCAGAATTGGTTCCACTACCAAAAAATGAGGACCAAGTGAGTTGTTTGGGCTGGAAGGTGCAGCACATCATGGTAGGCCATTGATGCTAAGTAAGTTCAAGCTTGCACATCAAGCACCAGGCCAATGAGGCCTCAAACATTTTTGCATCAAGATGTGTAAAGTAACAAATGTGAAAGTTTCAAAGCATGCACGTTACCAAGTATCATATCTTATGAGCTTCAGTTTTCCAGATCTGTTTAGATGATAAAAGTCATACTCCCCTTAATGTAAAAATCTTCAACTAAGTGTGGCAGTGCATTGTCTGTAATCCCAGCACTCAGGAAGCTGAGGCAGGAGGCTCACCGTGAGTTTGTTACTGTCTCAAGAAGCCAAAATAAAATCAATGAATTTAAGACTCAGATCAGTACATTGTTGAACCAGAGTTCTTAAAAGTGTATTTTATTCTGGTTAATATGTATAAGGGAAACATCCATATTAGTCTCAAGGGTTGTAAGTGATTGCAGTCATTTGTTCACATTTTAGATTTTTTTTTTTTTTGGTGGAACCGGGGATTGAACTGTGGCCCTTGTGCATGTCAAGGAAGCGCTTATTCCACTGAGCCATCACCGCAGCCCCCACATTCTAGAATTGTTTAGTCCAGATTGCCTGCCTGGCTCCTTCTCGTCGTTTCATTCAATTCCTTTCTGTTTCCTGTTTTCTTTATCTTTTTTGAGACAGGGTCTCACTATGCAGTCCTGGCTGGCCTTGAGCTCACTTTGTATCCCAGGCTGCTCCAGCTCACAGTGATCCTCCTGCCTCTGCCTCCCCAAGTGCTGGGATTATAGGTGTGGGCTACCATGCCCAGCTTGAATTGCATTTCTAAAGATAAGAAATTCAGTATTTAGCTAAGCCTACAATCCCAGCAACTCTGGAGACTAAGGCAGGATGATCACAAATTTCAGCCCAGTCTTGGCTTGTTAGCAAGACAGTCTCAAAAAACTAAAAATGGCTGGGGATGTTGCTGTGTGCAGAGGTTCTGGATTCAGTGCCCACTACTGAGAAACAAGACCACATACACATAAATAAATAGTAAAAGTTAGTGTTTTACATGGGCATTTTTATCAGCATAAAATGACAATTCATTTTAACCTTAATTTGTTATGTGTCTATGAAGTTTTTAATGGTTCAGTTAAATGGACTGATGACCTGTCACTATTTTTTAGCAGGCATTTGTGGTAGAAATACAAGCAAATGGATGATTCTTACCAGATAAGTGCTTTTGTACTCTAAAAATTCATTTTATGTGGAGCAGTGAAAGCAAAACTTTTTTAAACTTTTTTTTCTTTTTTTTTAGGTAGCAGGCTCAAGATGACTTCTGGAGTAATAAGGTAATCTTAGTTTTACAATAAATTTTATGTTAAAGTGTAAATCTACCTGTATCTAGCTTAATCTTGTGTATATATTACATCAATACATAATTCTTTTTCTAAGAGCTGTATGGAGCTAGGTATAGCTTAGTTTTACATTTATGGGGTATTACACAGCATCTACAGTAGCTATAATTGGCTTAGCTGCTCAAAGTTAGGATTTAGAATCAGGCTTTGTTGTTTTCTTTTGAGACATGGGTGTCACTATGTAGTTCAGCCTATCATTGAACTCTCACTGTGTAGCCCAGGCTGGCCTGGAACCCTCAGCAGTTCCCCTACTTCAACCCCAGGGGCTGGGATTATAGGTGTGTGCCATCTGATTTTTGAAGTTATTAGCTATAGTGATAGAAATTTAAGAATAGTTACACTGGAGCACAGTTATAGATGATTTATGTATTAGTCATACTTTGGAACTTCGGAGAAATATAGAACTGACCATAGGCTAGCTTAGGCATACTGGTCTTCTGTCTGAAAATTTAGTTGTAATACTAATTTAAAGTTGTATCAAGGGCTGGGGAGATAGCTCAGTAGAATAAGTGCTTGCCTGGCGAGTTCCGGATCATGAGTTCAATCCCCAGTACCGCCAAAAAAAAAAAAAAAAAAGTTGTATCAAGGGTCAAGGAGATAGCTCAGTGACAAGAGTGCCTGCCTAGTGCAAGCTGAAGGTCCCGAGTTTGATCCCTGGTACCACCAAAAAAATAAAAAAATAAAGTTGTATTATAGGTAGCATTTCAAGTATAATGATTTGCTGTTTAAGCTACACAGGTGTTCAAAGTCTAGCAATACCCAAAGGTGACAGTTGAGTGGAGTATCAGCATGAACCCTATAAACTATGTATGCTTGGTTTTCAGGTAGTAACACTTGTTCTTGTCCTTTAACATAGCACTCTGACATACATCCTTATGCTTGTGTATGGTACTGGGGAACAAACTCAGGGCCTCACACATGTTAAACAAGCAAACATTCCACTACTGAACTGTACCCCAGCCCATATGTAATAATTGACTTTGGCCCTAACCGTTGGTTCTTTGCTCGTTTTGTTTTACTTTATAGATCAAGAATCTTGGGCCAGGGAGATGGCTCAGTAGAATAAGTGCTTGTCTGGCAAGCACAAGGGTAATGAGTTCAATGCCCGGTTCTGCCAAATAAATAAATTAATAAAAATAAAAAATTAAAGAATCTTTAAACTCCTCACAATAATAAAGGAAAAAAGCAAAAATCAGTGACTCCTTGTTAGCTTTTCCTATTGCTGAGAAAAATTACCCAACAGAGCCAATTGAGGAGGTATCCTTTTGGTTCAGTGTTAATGGATTTTGTCCATGGGGAAGGGGAGGCAGACAGCCCAGCTCACACACATGGGGGGGTGCAGAGACAGAAATACACTCTTACTGTCCGCAGTGACCCTCCTAGCCTGACCAGACCTCCCCTTCCAACAGCAGTCAGCTATAAACTCACCAATTGTGAGTTCAGTGCCCCCTTGATTCCAGTTATGTTCCATAATTCCCACCTATAACCATGAGATTTCTGAAGTTGAAAATGCCTTTTTTTTTTTTGCTCAACCCATTAAAGACTGTCTGATGATGAACAGTAAATTTACAAAGACTGGAAGTGGACAACGATGTCAATGGTTCGCTTAATAAACTGGTGGGATGTATCTGATTTGAAAACTTCATTTTACAGTATCTTAATGGAAGTTTTAAGAAGGCATGAGTTTGTAGTATATAAATGTCACTTACCCCAATTTTGTCAAATAGATTAGCAACCAAACTTCACTTGTTACAAGACAACATTTTAATGAAAATTCAGTGGTGGATATGTATAATCCAGGGGCTAGTTACAAGGGACTGTCATAGAAATGTAAAGCTGACTAGATAGATGCTCAGATAATTGTTACATATTCTCATCATCTGATTCATCTTCTTCCTTCAGTGATTCCTGTTGAGAAAGTGTAAAACTCATTTTTTAAAATATTGTTACTATCCCACACCTGTGGCTAAGTCACTTTTTACAAGTAGAAAATGAACAATGCCTTAGAATACAAGTAAAGTATAATTAAGTAAAGGATAATTAAGTATATCTTGCTGTAGTAGCCAATAAATGAAAGCATTAATGTCCTAAAAACTTGCAACATTATCTCCACTGTAGATAACCTAGTTTCTACTACAATTCTTTAGTAGAGCTCAAGCAAATTTCCTTATTACTGTAATTGAATACAGTAAGCCCAATTAATGAACATTCAAGTTAAAAGCTGTTAACAGGTGTAAGACTCGACTCTGTCAGCTTGCGAACTAAGTCTGATATATAGTACATGATTCTGGCTGGGGTTCCTGTGCTTTGTCTTACCTTAGCGTATTTCTCTGCTTCTTCCCTTACATCTTTTGGAACAATTTCATGTCTTCCTTTAGTTACTATAAATTAAGACATAGTTGAGTGAATTAAAAATGAAGACTATATTATGTCTATAGTACAATACAACATACAGTTGGTAGCATTCATCTAAAGCTGTAAACTTGTGAGTAATACAGCTAGATGCTTTGAACTCATTTTGTTTTTGTCCGTGTGAAACAAAATATGCCTAAGGTCAACTCTTTTAGAAATGAAGTTGGAGCCAGGGCTTGCAAACATGAGATCTTGAATTTGATTCTGGGAACCCCTTCCCCAAGAGAAATAATTTCTCAGTTTTTAAAATCACACAATAGATGTTTCATGAGATGTAAGAAGTTGTTAATAACTTTAGTTACTAAGGAGAACTTTTTTATTCTCCCTGGATTACCTGGTAATTATGCTTTGGCTTTGTTAAAAAGGGAAGCAACTGGAAACTAAGTGCACTAGAGATGAGTCCTACAGCAAATGTTACCAAATTTTTTTTGTTTTGCAGAACCAGGGATTAAACTCAGGCAAGTGCTTATTCCACTGAGCTATCTCCCCAGCCCCTTTAAAGTTCAGAAGGATTTTTTTTATTTATTTTTTTATTTTTTATTTTTTTGGTCCTCTCAGGATGCCTTATGGGCAGGTCTGGTAAGGCATGAGGCTCTGGGATCGAACCAGAGAATGCTTTGCTTAAGCAGGCACTTAAACAACTGAGCTAATGGGCAGGCCCCCCACAAATGAATTTCCAAAACCACTTACATTCACCAACCCAGCTGAGCTCGAGTTCAAAAGCTTTATCCTTAACTTCATCATGTACTATGTAAATTCTAGAACAGAAGGGGACAAGTTATCACATCAAATGCCAATAATACCCATATGTATTAAGAATGCTCATTCTTAGGTAAGTTATTTATACTTACTTACATTCAAGTTTTTCATGAATAGAAAACACAAAGCACACACACTGACATAAGAATATTTGTTTTTTAATCTTTTATGTGGTAGAGGGTCTCACTATGCAGCTGGGACTCAGTGATCTTCCTGTCTCAGCATCCCCAGCACTAGGATTACAGGTGTGCGCCTGTTCCAGGGGCTGCATGGCACACATGGTACCAGGTATTCAACCCGGGTGCTTGCACTTGCCAAGCAGGCACTTTCCCCAGCCCCTTAATTCACTATTTTAATTGAGCTAAGCTTGGTGATGCACACCTAGAATCCCAGCACCTTGAGTCAAGATGACTATCACTGAAGGTTGAAGCCTCGACTATAGGTTTTTGCATCTGGTGTAAGCCAAAAGGATAAAACTTATTTTAAAGGACAACTACTTGCTTTCTTAATTTTTAAAAAATTTGGTATAGGATCTCACTATGCAGCTCAGACTTGTAGTGATCTCCTGTTTTCAGCCTCCCCAGCACTGGGATTACAGGCATGTGTCCCACCATACCCGGTCTTGGCGGTTGGCTCACTGAGCCTGGGGGTGGGGCTGGTACAGTATGTGATGCTGTGCTTACTCCGCTGAGCTATCTCACCTACCCAGTTGCTTCTATTAAAAAGAAAGTTTTATTTTTTTGTTTCTTTATAAATAAGAATCTTTTTGTCTGGCTTGCAGTCTGAGTAACATGCTGGCCATTCTGCTAAGACCAAGATATACAGTATATATTTGTTATATATTACAGTAAAATAAGATTTTTTAAAATGACTGCTTCTGACAACTGAAGTGAAAAAAGGGAAGAGGGCAGTACTGCCACTAGGGATGGTTGGACAGTTAAGGTGAAACCATAGCCTAAAAGATGAAGAATTTATATTTTATTATACAACAGCATCTGTTTATATAACTTTTTTTCTTTCTACATATTAGACATAAAATAGACCACTGGACTAAAAATCAATTCACTAGACCATGTTCATATTACGGTGCTGTGAAATCTGTAGACTACTAACTTTTAAAATATACTTGATCTTAGTCCGAAGACCAAGAAGTAATAACTTCTCAAATCTTAAATTATTATTTTTAACCTAGAATCACCATTTTGGTCAAATAACCCAAGTTTACTGACTTAGTTGTTACTCATTTTAATACTTGTTACATTGTGCTCTTAACATTTGTGTACCTGAAATAGAAATAACTTAGGTTTTCTGAGACTTCATTGTTTTACTTTGGCTTGTTGTGGTCTAGGTTTGGTTTTTTGAGGTGGGGTCTTGGTTAGCCCAGGATGCACAATCCTGGTCTCAGGACACACCTGTCTTCACCCCTTGACTACTGGGCACTGCTGTGCTCAATTTAGGCTGCTTTTAAGTTCTAAAATACTGCTCTTGTCATCTTACTAAAAGAACCTTTATGGGGCTGGAGAGATGGCTCAGTGGTCTAAAGCACCTACTTAGAACAAGCTTAGCAAAGCACAGGGACCGCGGTTCAATCCCCCAGCACCACATGCCAGCCAGCCCGCCCCCTGGTGGGCTGAGATGGCCACACACACACACACACACACACACACAATAAATAAATAAGTAAATTTTAAAAAATAAAAAAATAAAAGAACTTTTATGATATGCTTGGAAAAGTACATGAAGTCTTTGCTAAAGAAACGACAGATGAGGGCTGGGGAGAAGGCTCGGTGGAATAAGCACTTCCCGGGCAAGCGCAAGGGCCTGAGCTCAATCCCGGGTTCCGCGAAAAGAAAAGAAAGAAATGATAGATTACATAAAGGAAGCAACTTCATGGAGCGTACACAGAAATAATTAGCTCTGAACTACAACATAGATGGTGGGACTGAGGCTCTAGTCAGTACTAGAGTGCACTGGTTCAGCATGTGTCAGAACCCTGAGTTCCATTTGCAGCACCAAACACACAAAGGTCTTATTTAGTTCAGGTTGGTCTTTTTTTTTGGTACCAGGGATTGAATTCAGGCCCTTACACTTGCCAGGCAAGCACTTATTCTACTGAGCCATCTCCCTGGCCCCTTGACCTCACAGTGCACCTCAAAACTTGCAGTGATCTTCCTGCCTCAGCCTTGTACTGGGATTACAAGCATATAAACCTTGTTGAAGGCAATCTCAGGTAATTGTTATTGCAACTTGTGATTTGAAACTCTTGACAACCTACTATATTCTGCTAGTCTTAATCTCCAGATTACTTTCTCTAAAGCTAAATTTTCCCATCCCATTTATTACAACAAAAAACATAACCGACTGAAT